AATAAAATTACTATAAAATATCATTGAAATTATTAAATTTTATTAAAAATAAATAAAATGAAAAAAAAACTTAAAATTTGTTTAGCTATGATGAATTAATATTCGACAATAAGCTTGAAATATTTATGAAATACATTCGTAGGACAATTAATTTTAAAAAATTAATTTTACAAAATTTATTTAATTATATGTTACTTTTATTGTCTTGTTAGAAGTCTTGTAATTTTAATTACATAATAATTGTAATTTTATACTGTTAATAAGAAATAGAAATATAAGAATATAAATATAAGAAGAAAATACAATTAATAATTTTAGATATGATAAATATATATATAATATATTAACAATCAAACTAAAAGAAATTTACATAATTTTTGAATTTGTAACTCAAAAATATAGAGTGATATATTTTTATATAAGAATTCATTTCCATATATAATGTTAAAAATTTTTGTATTCGTAGAATATTGATATCAAATTTCTCTATTTTTGAATGTCTTTTGTTTAAAGCAAAACATTTTTTTAATTTTTTAAAATATTTTCGTGCATATATTTGAAATTTGTTTTTTTTATATATTTAAAATATATATTGGTAAAAAGTAATTTATTATTTTTAATAAATTTCATTTTTATTTATGAACAATAAGTTGACAAATAATTTTTATATATTTTTAGAAAATAATTATAATATATTTTAAAGAATATTTATAAAATTAAGATCATGCGGATATTAATGAATGAAACAAGATATATTTAAACACATTATATCATTTTTTTTTCTTGAATTGTGATAACAATTCTTCCTGCGTATAATAATTAAAAAAAATTATTTTTATTTTATTTCAAAATAATATTTTATTGAATGGAATTTGAATGGAAAAAAAACAAATTATATATATACTAAAAAAATTATATATTTTTTTTTAGTCATTATAAATTCTATAAAACATATAATAAATCTGATAAAAAATAAAAATTAAATATATCATTGAATCAAATGAATATTCCGCTAGATTTGTGAATATAATAACTAATTTATTGTTTCATGATTAATATTTCTATGAAATACGTTAGATGAATAAAAAACAATAAATAAAAAATATTTGACTTTGAATTTCAAGATCAATATCATTTTTGTATGTATTTTTATTTTCAAATTTTCATCGATCCAGAGATATCACACTTTTGTATTCATGCAATGGTCTGTAGATTTATTTTTTAATTATACACTATGTACAATAAGAAGAAAGCTGCAAAAATTATTTTATGTTTCTGTATTAAGAAACTAAACGGTTATACAAAATTCAAATTTCTTACATGAGCTTGTCATTCTAAATCATAATTCTGCAAGACAGCATTTTGACACAAAAACAACTCAAACAATTCAATACATAAACAAATATTTACTTTAGAAAAAATGATCTTGTAAAAAATTAACCTGTGCATAAATAGAAAATTTATTAATGATATTAGCTAAAAATATAAAAATAATTAATAGAAATAATATAGAAATATTTAATATTTTCATTATTTAAAATAATAGAAATAATATCTAATATTTTTATGTAATCATTGAATAAACCAAATTTTTAAGTTACAATAAATCAATGAAATGATAGATCTTCTTAGTTTAATGCTAAATAAAGATAATAATAAATAATAATGGATATATATACACAATTTGAAACGCAATTGGCCACAGAAAAAAATTTTGAAATTAAAAATCTCTTTACACGTCAATAAAATCAATAATATAATGCCTATTTCAGAAACTTATTATTAAAATTTGTATAAAAATAAATAAAATAAATGTAAAAAATTCATCATAAATATAAAAATTATATGAAAATTCCATTTTATAATACAATTTTATACGATATATTAAATAATCATTTGGTAATGCAATATGAAAATCAATAATAATCATTAAACAAGATTTTTTTTTTATTTCTTTATCAGATCTATATATTATCTTATTGTAATAATAAACACAATATAAAACAAATATGGAAACATATTGACAATTGTCTATTATCCCTCAGAAAAACATGTTTTTCTTTCACAAATTCTTTCAAATCATTAAGGGAATTAGAAAATTTTAATGTCGATAAAGATTATAAAACAAAATATATTTTATAAGATTTTAAAATAAATAGTCAAGGAAAAAAATTTTAAAATAAATAAAAAGCTATTTTTATAAATAAAGAGCTCATATATTGAGCTCGATGTTTCAAGAAAACTTTTCAGATATCATATTTTAAAATAATTAAAAAATTATAAAGATATTATTTTAAATCTTATAGATTTCAACTCAGATTGTTAACAATTATTTAATTGTTATTTAATTTAAACAAACTAAAAAAAATTGAAGAAATAAACATAAACTACAAAATGTTTCTAAAGATTTTCAAAAATAATGATAATACATTTTACAAATATAATTTTAGAAACAGACTGAGCCTAATAAAAAGGTGAACCTAGAAAAATATTCCTAACTTATCCCGAATATATTCTATAAAAAATTAAATTAAAACAAAAGTTAAAAATTACTTGAAAAAAATAAAAAATACAAGTCAACAAATAAAATAAAAACTAAACAAAATAAAAACTAAATGAAATTATCAAATCAAATGAATTAAAAAAATTCAAAATTTGTCAATAAAAGAATTTCAGAATATTTATATTAATATTTATCTAATTTTGATAGATATCACTTAATGATACTTAGTTAATGATACTTAATTATTCATTAAATATTCATTAATTTTTAAAGTGAAAGAAAAATGATTAGAATATTGAAAATATTAATTATTTCTCTATTTATCACAAAAAAATAGATTCCAATTGCAAGAAACATTCATGAAAAAAATCATTGTTTTTGTTTTAAAAATATTATTTATTACAAAAAACGTTGAAATTTAATTAACATCATTCTATTTCAGATAAAACTCATTCACAAATGTTGAAACTGACTCAAGTAAGATAATTATATTAGATAAACTATATTACAATAAAAAAAATTCATTACAGAAATATGAAATTAAAAATCTTTTAGCATCAATCCAATCAATAGTAAAATTTTTAAAGAATTTCCACCAAAAACGATAAGAATACTAATAATAGCCTTTGTCGTATTAAAAATCAAACAATTTCCTCGTTAAATGAAAATA